AACAACTTCCGCAAAAAATTTATAAAGAGCAATTAATTTAAAGCAATGCATTACTTCCGTTTCAATATTGAACGAAGCATTAAGCTTAGCAATTGAAATATTCTTTTACCATTGTAAACAATTCTTTTTAAACTTTTTTTATAAAAGACTTTTCTGAGAAAAGCTTAAGAAAATTCGATTCATTTAGAATAAAAAAATAAAAAAAATAAAAAAAATTCAAAGCTTAATTTTCTTACATGCGTTAAAGAGTGACAAGGTTAAGTCAAACTCTTAGTTTTTGCATAATATGTGATTATCACTGTCTTTTGCTTGGAAGGAAATCGTTTCTAATTTTGAAAGGATTAAGAAGCCATTATTTATTTTTGTTTGACACCCGTAGTTGTGAGAGTGAAACACTCTAATTAAGACTTTTAGGAACTTAACTTTTGAAAGCAAACACGGCGGAAATTGAAAAAAAGAAAAAGAAGAAAGCAAATAAAGGAATTTGTTATCACATTAGAAATGTTTGCTAAGTTGGTTTGAACGTTTTTTTTTCATGTATAAATATTTTTTCTTTTAAAAAAGAGAAATTTAAATAACTTTTTGCTAACTTGTTTTCATTTAATTAAATAAGTATTAAAAATCATATCAATTTATAAAAAATGCATACGACAACACTGGCCTTGTTTCTTACGGTGAAATAAATTAAACTATACTAATTAAAAAAAGGATTCTACTTAGAAAAGAGGGGGATATTGGGTGTTTCATAAACAAATTAATTTTTAATTATTGGCAAATAATATTGGAAAATAAATAAGAAATGAACATTATTACTTGAAATTTACGCATGATATTCACAACGCATTTTACCCAGGGCATTCCTCCCAAGCATTTTACCAATGTTGAATAAAGAGTACAAAATCATAGTATATAAAACCGTAATGCTCAATTTTTTAAGAAACCGATGAAATTTGTATTCCATCTTAGTAACAAAGAACTAAAATATCAAACGAGTGAGCTGTCTTACGTAAGTCATCGGTGATTTTTTTTTTTTTTAGTCTGACATAGCTTGAAATGCGCGTTCACGAAAATGAACACAATTCGAAGTGCGTGTTTACAAAAATAGACATAGGTATTTCAGAAAAATGACTATTCACCATCTATCCTAAAAAAACAAACAAACGCTACCGGAAGTCTTGAGGTCCTCTTCTGACGTCATAACATTAAAGTGACCATTTCTTTTTTTGACGCTCCGGATTTATTTGTATATACTCGGAATACTTAGTTTTTCTTAATTTAATTTTTGTGACGTGATTTTGTGAAAAAATGCGTTCTTCGTATTTTAAAATATCATATAAAGATATAAAAAAAGTTCTTTGGGAAATTATCCTGAATTGATTTGCAATTACATGATAGTTAAGATGCGGATTTACGCAATTTGGTTTACGCCAGCAGAAATTCTTATACCTGAATCTTATACCGGAAGTTGAAACAACCTCTACAAACACTGCCCCCTACCGTGGAAAACATGAAACGCGGTCGAGAATAAGGTGAATAAATCATTTAACACATCTCTTTAACTGTCATTTATAACAGTATATTAATTTTATTTGCATCAAAAATAATAATTATATAAATTGTTAATAAGATTAGACTACCTTTCTAAAAAACTTTATCTTAATATGTAGAGAAGAATTACATTATAAAAATAATAATAAAGAAAACAATTCTATAAGTTTCAAACTCTTGAATTTAAAGCGTAATAATAGCAGTACAGGAAAATAACTTTAAATAGGGAATAAAAGAATATTTATGGAAAAACAATACATTTATGGCTTTTATTAATTTTATGCTGATGACAACCAAAACAATATGGAAATGAATAAGGAAAAACTGGATCCTACCACGTGATTTTTCAGCCAATAAAAATGCCCGGACAACANCATGCAACATAATATAAATGATATAGGAAACTATTGGTGGTTCTTAAAGAGTTAAGTAATGGTTTGTAAACATAAGATTATTCATTTTCAGCTGTTACAATCGTCCCTTTACTTATTGTTACAATTGTCCCCAAGAGGCCAGTTCAGCTTCATTTGTTAAAAACAAGCTAGTTAATTAACAAAACTAATCTTTCTTTTATTGAAATGTTAATTAAGGTGTCCACTTACTTATACGGTTAATAATTTTTATTTGCTTAAACAAAATTACTTTGTTACAATATAATACGAAAAAAAGTACTTAGGTAGGGTGAAAATATCTTTTGTGATGTAACTCTTTCAAAAGTACATAAAAATGGTTGCCATTAGGGGTGTATATGTAGATTTATTAAATACACCTTGTGCACCATCTAGGAACCAAATCTAGAACCCGACACTCGAAATTTTTGCTCTGTTACAATCGTACCCTGTTAGAATTGACCCCACTCTCCCCTACCTTCTTGAATATTAGGCAAAAATAATTAATTGTCCAATATGAGAGAGAAGCATGCTAGAATTGCGAAGATATCCGGAAGAAATTACTTAAACTGCTTCCTAAGTTCCGGGTGAGCGAGAGCATAAGCAGGGGGGTAAATGCCTACCCCCATTTTTATTTATTGGTGAAGATAGTTAATTTAATTTTAGTTAATTTAATTTTATTTAAATTTGCTCTCGTATCAATGAAACACGAATTAGCAAACCGTATAACTATTTTAAATACATATCGGTATAACGATTGAAGCACTTGAAGATTTAATATTGATTTTTTTTTAGAAAAAATAATTTTTATAAATTTCAATTAAGGCTAAAATATTTTAAATAATGATGAACAAAAACTTCATTTTGTTAGATTATTTGTAACTCATATAGTAGCATGTAACAAACAGTGCGAAAATGTTTTATTTGCAGGTGTTAGCTGCTTAAAAATGTACTTTTTGTACATGTTACACGCTAATGATTTATGATTAAAATATTTCGATTATCATTAAAATTTCTCTAAAAGTATATTAATTGAATCTTCCTGCTGAAATTAATAATGTTTTCAAACACTGTATCACGTTTTTGTTACTGTGATTTTCAAAAAAATTGGTCAAACTTACCAGAGAATATCATGAAATTTACGGTGTTTCTGGCTTTATGGTAAGACCAAAATGCCCGGTAATTTTTACCGAAGCACTTTGTAATGACTTTGGTAAAATTAACAATAAAATTTTGTTTTATAATCTGTGTTAAAATTTGGTAAATGTGGTAAAAGTTTGAAATTTTATGATGATACCTTAGAGCATGGTATAATAAACCACTTATTTGGTTAAATTCGCTTTTCAGTTTTGCAATTATTACTAAATCTGTAATAACTATAATTTTGAAAAGCAGAGCTTTCAGTAAAAAATTATCACATAAACGGAAAAATTATTATATGAATCTAAGTTTCGATCTTACGGATTTAAAAATTCAAAGAGATTTTTCTGGAAATATGTGATTAAAAATGTTTGTCTTATTCAAATTTCATAATTAATTCATTGTTAAAATAAATCCCAATATGCTGAGATGCTTTTTGTCCAACTAACTACTTTTCGAAATTGCTAAAAAGGAAAACTATTTTCTGCTTTTTCTGTCGGTGCGAAAAATGTGGAAAACAATTATTTATGGTCTAAGCATAACACCACAAACATATTTTTGCATATATACAGTGAAACCTCCAGGAAAGACAACCTCTATACAGCGACCACTTTTGGGAGGTGGGGAATTTTTCCAAAGGCTTTGCGTTGAAAAAAACCCTTAGAAGAGACCATCAAAACCTCCCCTAGCGACCAGGAAAATTTTGTATCTTATTCAGAAAAGGTCAAATAAGGAAATGCGAAAAAATATTAAAACAAAAAATATTATCAAAACAAATTAGTAGATTTAAATGCATTCAAAATATTTATGATTGACACTTACTTAGAAAGCTCTTTTTGACGATCTCTGAAAGAGATTGTCAACCTGATTTCTTTCTAATTAACTCCAAAAATAATCAATGATATATTTTTGGAGTTAATTAGAAAGAAAATTGTTATTTTAGAAAATACTAAGTATCCCAAACAAACAAATCTCTTTTCATTTTTTAAGGCTAACTGATTTTTATGGTAAAAAATTCAATGCAAACTTTTAGAAGAAGAAGAAAAAAAAAACACAATTGTTTGTTTATTTAAATCAGTTCTATAATTCATAAAGGGTAAATTTATTTTTGCTCATAATTATATTAGCAAAGGCCATTTTTATTGAAGCTGATTTTTTTAATCGATCCAGTTTTCATAACGCCAACACAAGTGGTATTTCTGCACCAAGAAAATGACACTGAGTAAAATTAAAATTGCTTGCGAAAAATCATGTACCTCCGGTAACATTTCGAAGTCAAAGAACGACCAACCTCCATTAGCGACCATTTTACTATGGACCAACAAATACGAATATTTCTCCTCAAACCTTCAATAACGAAGAATTCCTCATTATTAACTTGTTCTTTAATAATTTTATCTATTACAACGAAAAACATCTGAAGTTCATTGGGTTTTGCAAACTTACGCAACAAATAACAATACGGTCTGATTTCAGAAACAAAACGAAGTATTTTAAACATATTTAAACGGTGATTTAAACCCTAAATGCTGTCATTAATAGGATGGTGATTATATTTTGTCATACGTGCGTGTGAATAAATGCATGCATAGAAAAAAAAAACTTTTTTTCTTAATCTTAAATTATTTCTGCATAAGAACAAAATATGGAATAAAAATAATAGTAACTTTTCATGCGACACCTTTCAAGATAATACATATCTCCCTAATGTCACGTGCATCAAAGCATTAAAACCAACAAAAAATAATTACGAATCTGGCAATATCTTTCGAGGTCCAGTAATCGTCATTTTCTTCAGCAGACGATTTTTTTAAACTGCATCATTTCATTCTTCTGCTGAAAGAACTTTTTCACAAGAACCAGTTTTGCTCTGTTTTTTACGGTATTTTTCTAGTAAGATGGGAGGAGTCACGATGGGGGTGGGTAATTCAAACTTTTATTCGTTTCGGTTTCATGATCCACTACATAAACGATATTTAAAATGATACTCCACAGAAATCGAGAGGCCAGTAGCAACTTGACCAAAGGATAGAGGCAGTACATTAGAATATTTAACTCGGAGTAATACCCAAAATCATTTCAGTACTTGGAGTCTAGCGGCAGAAGCATGACACCTGTTAAACTCACTTGGGTATGTATTAGTTTTGAAGTGTGTCTATTATTTTCCAAACGATTTAAAAATAATAATAACATTTAATAAAATTTATACAATTTAAGATTTTTAGTCGTAGTTTTAAAGCAAATTATTGCATAGATACGAATGTTCCCCGCATAGAATTATAACCTAATTTTTAAACACTAGGGATTAATAAATTTTGAAAAAAAAATCAATGAAGTATAATTAGAATGCTTTTTGATGAAAGCATCCGATTATAAAAAAGATCCATTTCTAAATAATAAAAAAAAACTATTTATTGAAAACATTTAATATATTAAAAATATTATTAGCTAAAACTATTATAAATATTAAATATTAAAGCTAACTTTTGGTGAATTTTAAAATTTATAACCATCTTCTTATTTCTCACCTGAAAAAAATTAAGCTGTATGGGCTTTAACTCTTTTATCGCGATGGATCAGATAATATTCCAGGAATATTTCCTATGATCTATTGATGTATTAATGAATACGGTTATTAATTGTAGTTGATTTTCAACGAATTCGCCTTTTGTTTTAATTTTAGTACTGCTTGGAAACTCAAAAAGCAGAGGGTAGGACAAAGGCACGCATCATTGTTGAGATGAAAGTGTTAAATTTTTGACTTGTCAGTGATTGACTTTTTTAAATTTATTAGCTTTGAAAATTTTCTAAAAAACCAAAGCAGGAAAGCTAATACCAAAAGTAACCATTAGAATTATTAAAATATTAAAACAATTATGGAAAAATAATATTACAGTGTAGTTTAAATGATTGATTGATTGCATATAGAGGACTAGTAACCGAATCTGAAATCTGTTAAGTGCGAAATTTGAAATAGATTTATTATTCTTACAGCAACAAAACTAAACGCTGCTCTAAATTAGGCATGGTAAAAAAATGCTTCGGAATCTCGGGTCTCTTGCCAGAAACATACTTCTTAAAATCGAATGATTTTTAGGCAATTTCACTTGAGACTTGAATTATGCATGATTTTGGTCTTCCTGTAGCTTAAAATAATATCAAGCTTTACGAGCATTTACCAATAAATTTTAAAAGACACTTTTAAAAATAAATTTTAATTCCAAATATAGCAAATTGTACTTTTCAAAATTATTTTCACAAATATTAATTAAATCTTAAATAATCTTAATTAAATCTTAATTTATAAATAATCTAAAATTCCTTGACATACTTGGCTATCTTAGTATTTCAATACTTATTATTCATAGTATTTGGCTCTTTATTTAATGCACGGTACAAAGCTAACAAAATTTCCATTAAGATTTTTTCGTTTTAATTTGCGTCGTTGAGAGACTACATTGAAAGCTATAAACACATCTGCGCAGAAAAAAAAAGTCGAATCCAAATATTAATGTATGAAAAAGAAAAAACGGTTATAACCACGCGGAGAAAGAAATTCTGGCAAAATTACCGTACTGAATGATAATGAAATTCCTGGGTAAAAAATAATAATTCTTATTAATAAAACCAAAATATACTCTATTTAAACCAATAATTTGGTAATTTTTCAATTTTACCGGACGTTCTGATTTTTAAAACTATAGTTCTGATTATAATTTTAGCATTCTTATAATTTTAACGTGAAAAGCCCGTAATTATTTATTAGTAATACGTTGAAGCTGTTCGTATGGAAATAGCTCTTTTGATTATAGGGATTTTCTTAAAAAAATTTAAAATAATTAATAAATTTCCTTAAAATTTCGTTATGATTTTAAGATGCGTCACAATGTGACAAATTTTGCTTAACGTTTTAAATGTAAAATTAAAAAGTGATTCGACAAAAAAACCCGTTTAAAAATTTATTTTTTAATCAAATTGCATTTTTATTAAATGTGAAAATAATGCATTCTGATTCATATATCGTAAAAACAGACATTTTGTATTAATGAGTAATATTTTTCTCTTTTTTACTAAATATTAATTGGAATATTTTATCTTTCACTCAAAAAAGGCAAACTAAAATTAAAATATACCTTTAATAATAGGTTTAAATAATATTAATGATAATAAATCACTTTTTGGATTAAACAATTTAAACATTAGCAAGCCTTCATTACTAAATAGGGAGTTAATTGTATCAGAATTGATCTACAAAAAGTTTAGAAATTTAAGGTTTTAATTGTGATATTTATAAATGTGAATCGCAGAAATTTTGATTAAAAAATTTACTGTTTCTATCATATTGTTTTCATTAGTGAATATGATTCAGTTATTCCTTCAAAACTTCTGGAATAATTCCCATTTGTGAATCGTGCTTGTTTTTTAATTAAATTATCACCTAAGATATCAGTTTAAATATTTTAGTGTCATCAAAATCAATTGCTGAACAGCTTATAACTGTGATTGAATGCAAAAAAAACCAAAAATGTCGGTATTTCACCACTCACGTTTTTGCAATCGATTAAAAATTATCCTAATTTTTATGAGACATGTAAAAAGTCCTACATTAATTCATTAACAGAATTCTTACGTTTTGAAATAGTTAAACTGGATGCTCTAGCATTAATTTCAAATTATATAAACAAAACAATTCTTCAGAAAAACGAAAAAAAAACTTTTTTTTTTTCATCTTTTCATAGCGTTTCTCCCCTTTAAATAAACTTATTCACTGGAACAGTTTTTTTTTTAAGAAAAACTTCCAATTGTGTCGTTTTCTAATTAAAATTTGTTTTTATTTATCTCAAAATATTTCTTTTTCTTGTTTATTTTAAAAAAGAATATAATAAACAACCAGGAAGCATTGCTTTCTTTTTAACTTTCTACGATAGCTTTGGCGTACTTTTCCTTATGAGAGGCACCATTAGATGCGCTAGGGAGCGTATAATAAGTATCATGACAAAATGTAATGAATATCTCTTGATTTTTTATACTTTATGAAAAACGTTTTATTCTAAGATTGTACAGACGGAATATATCACTTCCTCATTTTTTTAATATAAAAAGATTTAAATTTTTAAATATTCATAGGCATGGAAAACCAATTTATTCATCAAATTGATATTTTCGATATGATATTAGATTATTTAATTGTTATTACTATTGTAACTAAGAAGATATACAGTTAATATAATTAATTTAATATTATTAATTTAATATTATTAATTCAATATCATTAATTTAATATTATTAATTCAATATTATTAATTAAATATTAATAATTATTTCTAATGATAGATGATTTATAAATATCTTTGTTTTAATAGTTTTCTTAAAATTTGATGAAAAAAAACAACTAGTAAAAACAATGAAATTGAAGTTTTTGAGCTTAGATCATAATAACCTTAGTTTAATGTAATTCAGTATTAAACTAAGCACAATGTTCATTGTACTTAACAACATTCTTCTTCTTTTATAGTCTTGCAGCCTTGTTTTGCTGAACAATGTTGTTCTAAACATTTTTAATCTTGAATTTCTAGTATGAAATTTGTACTTTTAATTTAAAGTAATATGAGTGCAATGCGCATTTCCATAGAATAATATGCATACATTTTTTATTTACGTAAAACCAAAACTTGGACAGTTAATTAAAGAAAATACTCGTTGCTAGTTACAAATATTAGTAATTAGTTATAAGCCACCAGAATTGGATTTTAAAAATTTAAGCTCTGAAAAATGCAACAATGTAGAATCAATAAAAGTTTGCGTAGTGAATTCGGGTTTTTAACAAATCCAAGTTTTCATTTTTGTGTAAAATTTTTTTTAAAAAAGTATTTTTTATTGAAGAGAAAATAAGTAATATATTAGCGATTTGTCAAGAAATTTTTGTAGTCATTAAATAAAAAATATTGAGAAGTACAGTAAATTTCCAAAAAAAATTTATTGAATTTTTAACGGAAAACTCTAACCAGTACATTTTTAAAAAGAAAAAATATTTTTAATTTTATTCTTTTTCAGTTATCAAAAAATTAAGTTAACGCTGAATGCACTTACTGTGTGGCACAACTTAAACTTCTTCTGGCTCTAAAATATTTAATTATTCAACCACGACCTAACAAATAATGTTATCCCCATGGAAATGAAAATAATTGAAGGAAACAACCAAAACAAGGAAAATTATTTCAAACCAGCATTTCCTACACTGAGTAAAAAAAGTATGGTCAAAATTACCAGAATATGGTAACATTTATCATATTTCTGTCTCAATAGGAACACCAAAAATCTCAGTAATATTTACGAAAGCGCTTGGGTCATGAATTTGGTAAAATCAACAATAAGATATGGTTTTGTAATATGCAATAAAAGTTGGTAAATATGGTAAACTTTTGAAATTTTGTAATGACACCTTAGAGCATGGCATAAAAAACCATTTATTCGGCTAAATTTATTTTTTAGTTTTGTATCTTTTACTAGAAATGTGGTAATAAGAACTATAGTTTTGAAAACCAGAATTTCCAGTTAGTCGTTGCCATAAGAACGGAAAAATTATCAGATGAATAGTTTAGATATCGTATATTTCGGCTTAATAAACCAGAACTATGCTTTTTTTCTACCAGGAAGGGCATTACCATAAAGTATCGTAATTTTACTAAAATTTTTTCCTTCGTGTATCAAAAGGCTGAATTGGGCATTTTCTTTTCTTTTGGAATGACTCTTTTTCAAAATATTTTTTACACTTAATTATTATTCCTCTTTTTTTTTCTTTGCAAAATTCTCATTTGATATATATATTTGTATAATTTGAATACATCATAAATAGAAAGGGAATAACTATACTCTTGGATACTAAAAATTATTTTAGCCTTTACTCTCCATAGTAAAAGTGATCCGCATAATTACTGTACCAAGTCGATTGTGTCCACTAGGAAGTGAAAAAGTAAACAAATTATTAGTCTCAAATTAGTATTTAAGTCAGAAAGATACAAAAACACTGTCAAAATCTTGAGCAATCAGATTGATTGCCAATCAAACAAGTTTCGTTTTCTATTCTCGGGGATGACTAGTTAGATTACGATAGCGTATTGCTTTTTTTTTCTGGCATAAATGTCACTAGCATTAACAATGCTGCGAGAATATCTAAATAAAGGTATTTTTTAAATCTATATCATAATGCAGCATTTAGACTTTTTAGCGTTTATGAAGAAAACTTCATATTTTAGCTCAAACATTTTATTTTATTAACAAAAATTAAACTTAATTTATAATTAAATTAGACTATTTTATTATTTGTTTTGTAAAATGTGAGTTTAATTCTGTTCTAGGTTTTTTCAGCATTTTTAACATTGTTCTTTGTTTTATTTTGATGGCAAATATGTTGACATAATGTTGCTCACTTTAAAACTTTCAGAAAACATCTAAGAAAATCTTATAAAGTTTAACTATAGAGTTAAACTGCTCTATTTAATAAAATGTTAATAACATCCAGTGAAATATTTTAGAAAAACTATGAAACTCAATTCTATCTTCATCAATAATGAGAAAATAATTGAAAAGCTGCATTAAAGCTTCTTCAAATGGTATGCTTCAAATGGAAAATTTCGGTACCCTTACGAATACTCGTTAAACTGCTATGTTTATAATAAAGATAGTCGTTACAAAACACATACATAAAAACTGTTTGCTAAGTAGTTAAAATTTAAGCAAATTAAATGAAAATATGTACTTTTCTAGTTTATTTTTCGACGTTTAAATAACAGAAGTAAAGCAATACAATTAATACAGACTTTTAATCATTTTTTTTTATATTTTACATTTCTTCTTAAAGTTAATACGATTTCACTCTCAAAAAATTTTAAGTTTGCAGATCCATAATATCTTTTTAATTGCTACAACTTTAATTAAATGCTGGATTTGAGCCATATTATTATTAAATTATTTTAAAGTTCATGTTATAAAAGTAAAATATATCATGTTATAAAAAAACGTCATTATGGTTAACGATATTTTAATATATTTGCTCGATATTACGGTTAAAATGTGCTAATACTATGGGGCACCATTGATCAGATTTTTTCTGAGGCTTTAGAAGCTTTAGTCGCAAGCAGTTCTTGGTTCAACCCATATTTTTGTTTTAAAATAAATCTAAATCTCATTCGTTATCGTGACTTGAATAACGTCTTATTTTATTACTCCTTCAGTCGAGTTTTAGAAAACTTCCGAACGTTTACAGCATTTTTCTTATCTTTCTATTGTTCTTTGGCGTACAGAATTTAAATTATTTCAAATTACAAAATGGCTCAGATAAATTCAAATAAAATGTCCAATTGGATTTCGCAATAGAGCAGAGAGTTATTTCTTTAGCTCATTTATTTCGTCATTTATGAAAATTTCATCTGACTTGGAGGAAATTTTAGATAATATGGAATCGCAGACAATGGGTAAAATGGAATAAAAGCTTAAATTTACATAAAACCCATTGTTTACTGAGTTTTCTTTTTCTCGATTTCATATTGGAAAAATTGAAATTATATTAGTTTTAAATCGATAGTTCATATCAGAAATTTACTACTTCAACAAAAGAGAATTGCTTTACTTTAAAAGAAAAGAAACCATTGTCCTATATATTAAACAAACAAAAACAATACTATGCTTTTGATCTCTATTTAAAATATCATTCATATATTTATATAATAAATTGCATTAATAAAATTTTTAACAATATATGAGCTTCTAGTTTCTATATTTGGAATGTACGCATCCAAAAATTCGTACACGCATTAAAGCCTCAATTTTAAATTCATCAATACTAAAAGTAATATTACGAAAGTAAAAAGAGATGTTGATGGTTATAGTTTTTGTTGTTCAACAAAAAGAAAATTTTGGTTTCGAAAACTTTTGCCTTATCGTTTCTTTTATCTCTATTTCAAAAACTCATCACTCAACTCTATTTTTCTTTATTATTAAGTAGTTACAGGGCAATATTTAAATCGTCATCAAACGAAATATAATATTTATGTTTGTTGATATGCAACCAGGTGTGTTGATTTCTTAGAATGCTAGCAACTTTTGGCTCCAAGCCTGATCATAGACATTTCTCCTTCTTGAACGCGTTACTCTTAGTATTCGAGATCTAGTACTACATGAATACTTCATCAATACCTACGGGAGGTACTGACCCAGGAGTTTCCTTGTCTTCTGGATTGGTTAAAAAATTACAAAGCTACGGGGTTGAATATTAGTAGTCGTAAACCCAAAAATTGGGTCGGCTGTTCAACGGCAGATATAAGATATAAAAATAAAGTATGATATTTCATTTATAAATAATAATAATTATCAGAGCATTAAATGATTGCCTCAAAGTTTTCCAATTACAATAGGAAACGAACTCTCTCGAATACTGAAAATTAGAATGTAATTAGACGGGGAAGAAACTCTGTTTCCGAATTTTAGGAGCTTGCGTGATTTCATTTGAAACTTAAAATCAATAAATTTTGCAGGATGCGGAACTTCTCACAATCCGATTTAAATAATTTAAAAAACTTTTGATCTTTTTTTAAAAAAATTAATGCCAGAAGAAATTTAAGTTGTGCCGCAAAGTTCAGTGTTAGTTTTGCAACTAGAATCGATGAATTTGAAACTGGAATATTCAACGTTTGCATAGTCTTGTTTCGCTAACAGTTTTTTCATCTTACCTATTTGACTTCCAAAATATCATATCACAAACAATAAATTCATTTTTCCAACAGAATCTGAATTTGTTTAAATTTTATTTTTTGTATGCACTTCTTTTATAAAAAACAAAACGTTTAGACGAATTCTTTAAGAAAAATTTAAACTAAATTGAATATAAAATTATTTTTTTTAGCTATTATCAGGAAGATAAGTTGATATTAAATGTTTAGATAGTGGTTAGCTGTTGCTTGTTCGAAATTAAACATTAGCTGCTCCTAATGCAGACGTTTAATATTTTATAAAAATGCTGTTACCCTAACAATGTCCTTTAAAATAATAGAAATTCCCTTCTTTTAATTTTCATGCAAATAAAAAATAGACGAACTTAGAGGAGTGAAAAATATTGCTAAATAATTAAATAAACTGTAGTAAAAAACATACCGTCATTTGACCCAGTCATTTAGAAGATATTTTTAAATTGTGTCAAATGTTGCAGCCTTAGAGAAATACCCATCGTATTAATACTATGTAAGACAAATATATGTAGATATTAACAATCTAATACCTTCTGATTTTGAAGTATAGCGAAAATTTGCACTCATTTATGCTAAAATTTGAATTCAAGTTTTACCAAACTTTTTATCGATAACAGAAAAGTGTTTTAATGTGCCCTATTGGTCTCAAGAACATTAATTTAAAAGTAAATTAGAAACAATCAACATTTTTTCGAATCATTTTTTTAAAAAAGTATTTTAGTATTAAATAAGTTATATCAATGCATTATTTTGGTTACAAATCAATTAACCGTATTAATCTGCATTACATGAATCTTTAAAATCTGTAATAAAGATGGGTATTCAAGTTATAAAAATAAAAAATGAACAGTAAATAAATATAGAATATTAAATTTAACCTTCTCATTATAGAAGATTTAATTAAAGAATTTTCGACATATTTTAGGAAAATAACTTTAGGAAAAAACACCCATCAGAATTATATATTTTTTTCAATGTTAGGCGGTGTAAGTATTAAAATATGCAAAAGCAACTTTACACGCTGCAGTATTAAAAGAGGAATGCTGTTGAATATGGTAAATATTAGGGGTGATAATATTAAATCCAGTAAAAAGTGAATAGTTGCAAAAAATCCTTAATTTTATATGTTCTCTTCAAATTCAATCTTTTTTATTATGATGCCTACAACGTGTACCAAATTCAAACCTCATTTGAATGCAGACAAAGTTTTTGTGACAAAAAAAAATAATGGTCAATAATCAAATTGTCAATATCGCAAAAATAAAAGAAATTAAGTAATAACTTTAAAAAAAAACTCCTGAAATTTCCTAAGCGTTCCAATTTTAATTCACTTTCAATTATTTTAGATGTGTTTCTTTCTTTAACTGCAGGTACTATTGCTGCTCTGTCTAGCATACATAGTAATGGCCAAAAAAGAAACAGCTCCAGAACCATTGGAAGAAGAAGAATATGAAGATGAAGTGGACGAAAAAGAAGTTAAAGAAGCTTTACAAGCAGATGCATCTGTGTATGGACCTTTGGTAGGTGGTGTTGGTGGCATCGGCTTCTCCAGCGGTGGCGGTGGAGGATATTCTGGTCATGGCGGTGGCGGAGAAGGAGGTGGATATGGTAAACATGGCGGCCACATCGCTCATAATATCCACGAGCATGATAGTGGACACAAAGGATATTCCGGATATGATGGTCATGGTGGTCAGGTTGGAGAAAAGAAACACGGTGTTCATGAAGAACATTCTCTTGCCGATGAGCAAGGGCATCACAAAAAATTTAAAGAAGAGCACGCTGTTCATGGAGAAGGTATAAAGAAGGGAGGAGAATCATATGAAAAAGATAACCACCATGGAGGACACCAAGAACATAAAGTGGGGGGAGAATACTTCGATAAATATGGGAAGGATCAGAAAGGAATAGTAAATGGTGGTTCCCATCAAGAAGGTGTACAGGCTGAAGAAAAACAGGGCGGTGAGTAGAAAATTTCAGTTAATCAATTTGTTTAAAAGCAAGCAAATCAAAAATCTCAAGCAATTTTTAAAATCCCAACTTTAGTATTGAATTAAATATTGCTTAAACCATGCTAAAATCGCCATTCAAATTGCTAAATTTATAAACTTGAACTATAGCAAACTAACAATAGGAAGTGATATGTAAAATTATTAAGGGCATTTAACAATAATGCTAAAACTGATCTTTTTCTATTCACCTTTTTGCAGCATCTAAGCAAAATATTGCTTCATTTTTTTATCACAGAATATTTACATACACACGTTTATACTGTGATAACTGTTAATACATATCTTCAGTAGAAATTGTTTTAAGAAATTATGAACTGAAAACTTTTAATTTTTTAAAAAGTTTCATCAAAAATCTTTCATAACTGAAAAAGCATACCTGTTAATGCTAAACATTAACGCAGCATACAACTGATCTAATCTCAAATATCCCCCAAACAATTTCAAAGCGACGTCATAAGCAGTTTCTGAGAAAAGGCATATCGAAAAAGGTCAGTTTGCCCTGCCGATTCGAAATTTTTTGTGTATAATAATAGTACATGGTAATAATGCAACTTTTAAAAAAATAAAATAGAAAAATCTGTAAATCGCAGGATAATATTCGATCACCTCTACATATGTAAATGCGATAGTCTGTCTGTATGTTCGCAAATAACTCGAGAACGGGAGCACCGATTTTGTGTTACTTTCTACAGTTAGCGAATTTTTATGGGGTAATTTGTAAGCAATCACCTGTTTCCGGCATTACATGGTTCAGAAGCAGTATCGAAAATTCGAAATTTCATTGATAAAAAACCATTATAACAAATTAAAACGAGCGCTATCATGGAAACAGCATTTTTACATATTTTTTTTAAAAAAAATAGAAGTAGGCGAAACCACTAGAAAAAATTTAATATCCTTAAAGCTTGCTAAACTTATAATTGCAGTACTGAAGTAAAGTGTACTAGAAACAGATATGCAGGCTAGCATAAGTTATCGAAAATTGAAGAAATGTTATATTTCACCGTCAGTTGTAATTTTAAACCTAAATATGTTTATTCTTATTTGCCCAAGCAGCATTTCCCTTTCAAAGCATTTAAATTTATTAAATTCGAATTCGCGATCGCAACGAATTATAGGGGGCGTTGTTGTATGAAACGAATTCTTGTGATTTCCATAAGAACAGTCATTCAGTTGCTCAGGAAAGGTCTTCAGTGTAGCATTGTAACGTTCCTTCTTTTTGTGACTTATTAAATTTAAAAAAGAAAAATGTTTGATATTCTTTCTTACGCAAGCAAAAACAAAATGGTATCTCTTTTTTTTTATAGAGAAGGAACATCCAAAGCACAACGGAAAAATATTTGTAAATAAACACGAAAAAAATCTGTATCTTCTTATTAGAGTTAAAATCTAATGCCTGAGAAGTAGTTTTACTAAATTTAATGATAAAACATTAAAGGCCTATTTAAACTGTACATTCCATAATTTTAAGAATCATATTACTTCGAACACTAAAATATGCAAAAAGTATACATAAGCTCACAATTTTATTTAATTTAATTTTGCAAAAAGAGTTTTTTGACAACAATTTTTATCAAAAAATTTTACGTTTCAATAAAAATAATTATTTATAAACTAAAAAACGTAAAATAAAGGATGTTTACAAAACAAAAACAAAAAAAAAAACGATTCTAAAAATTCCACACATTAAAATAAAAAACTTTCATGTTTCTATAATCTAGTATCGATCAAGAATTTACAAATAAAATGACTATAAAATCCGAGAAAACTTGAACAGTTTTTGTATTTAAATCAAGATAAATTTCATAGATTGCTGCTTTTTAATCCATGGTAGGAATTAAATGTCTTTCTTTTTCTACTAGTCGCACGCTGGTCTCATGGTCATGAAAAATGTTTCAGTCTCTAATTTTACCCATGCAATACATGATTACGTTTCCATTTAGTTTAATTTGGTGAAACACATATAAATATAAAATTCGAATCAACTGAATGTTTTGGTGTAAGGGATGAGGGGGGAAAATCCGGCAAAAACCATTTTGCATTTATCTATGCTGCTATTAATAGTATTTCTTTTCTCGAGATTTAAAAAAATATTTATTAATAAACAAATTGAATGAATTTCTGTTTTAATACTGCTAATCATCTATTGCCGGGAAAAAAAATTTCCGTTTTTGGTTAAAAACACGATCAAATCTGACTTATTTATCCATTATAAAAATAGGATAAGTTTTATTTGCGAGATCAATATAACAGATACTATACTGTTAAAACTTAATAGAAAAATATCCTTTACTTAATAATGAATAACGCTCGCTTTCGAGATAATGCAATTCTTAATTTATTAAAAATGTACAAGTATTCCGCTTTTGAAAAAAGTTCTTTTTATTCTTCATGCTTTAATTTTTTTCAATATTTTTAAAAATATTTGTTTATAATCAAAACAAATTTCTTGATAATAAGCTGATTTCTGCAACAATAATTTTTAAGACAATTCATTAATACCTATTCAAACTTATTATCACGCTTTAATGATATGATTGCAGAACTCTTTTTTAAGTGCACGTAAAGATTGAATTAAAGTTTGCGTCATCTCCTTGGAAAATTCTTAGAAAAGAAATTTAAAACCATATTAATTAAACTTAGAAAAAGTTTTCGTTTTTATATTTGAAATAAGTGAATTTAACTTGCGGGAAAATTTCGTTCTACTTTTACCATCTTATCTTTATTTTATCAATAAACCTTCAACTATAGGCTTTTCTTTTCACTATCTAGGATCCAATTAAAACTTCCAAGCGATAAGTTTATCTTACCACTCTAATAAATTCCAGTGCAGTCTAATTCAAACTGTTTACTTACTAATTATAGAGATATCTTTTCTTGTTTTAAAAGTTCATTAGTATACGTTAATTATCTGTTTTACTATTTTGATTAATTAAGTTCTTAACATAAGACTCTTAAAATTAAGCATAACGATTTTTTTAAGATACATATAATAGTTAGACAAATGAGGGTAGAATGTATGAAAAATATATGCAACACTTGAAAAAAAGTCGACTTCTTTTTAAAATAAATTATTTTAATTTGGACATAAAAAATATTAAAAAAGCATTGTTTAAAATCGCTGAAAAAAATCATCATGGAAATTTTATTAATAAAGAAACTAGCGTCATCAACAAATATATATAAGTATGAAACATATCAATTATTTCCATAATTTCTCATTGTTACACTACCCTCTCATCTTTTATAATTACAATTTGACTTCACAAAAGTAATCTAAAAGAATTTTAAGAATTTAATGCAAGTTAAAAGTGAGACTATGATTACTTTTTAAAAAATGCAGTAGTGTAAAATTTAAATTTAATTTCTTTTTCCTCTTTTTTTTAAATCAATTTATAATTTATAACTATTTTTAGTAACTGTGTTTAATACAGTATTTTGTTGTTGTTCATTTACGTCGCACTAGAGCTGCACAATGGGCTATTGGCGACGGTCTGGGAAACATCCCCGAGGATGATCCGAAGACATGCCGTCACAATTTTGATCCTCTGCAGAGGGGATGGCACCCCCGCTTCGGTAGCCCGACGACCTGCACGCGAAGTCGAGCACTTTACGGTGGAACAGTTTAACGAGGACCAATACCGCACACCCTCGGTCCCTACGCGGGCTGATCCAAGTGGTCACCCACCCGCACACTGACCGTAGCCAGTGATGCATGACTTCGGTGATCTGCTGGGAACCGTGTTCTAACGATCAGTTCACTGCGGGGCAAATCATTTTTTTTAAATCATTACATCAGAGGACATTGTGTTACAATAATGATATTAAAGTAATTAGGGGCATAATTAACATTACAACACATAACATAAACTAATTAAAATCAATACACAATAAAAACTCAATGTAATTCTTAATTTTTATTACTCATAATTTTTATTTACTTAAAATATGATTTTATTTACTCAAAATATGAAAGTTAAAAATTGAAAAAATAAATTTCTCTAAATTCTAAATAGGAATAAATTTGACGCTTACTTTTTTTAGTTTGACAATCTTTATAGCAAAAGTTCTTATAGTATAAGTAGCCATAACTAATTCTTCCACTAAACGAACTTGGATGATTCCATAAGTTTCTGTCCCTTCTTCTGGCCAGTACATGTCACACTTCCTCTGAAAAAAAATTTTAGGTAGTTATTTGTTCCTCAAATATGAATATTTAAATAAATTACTATGGTTCACTGATGAGAGTAGTCAGAAAGTATTTTGAAGGAACTCAGCTATGAAACTTAAAATCATTAGTGCAGTTGAGAAAAATCCACTCCAAAATTGCATGATGCTATTAACTAGTGTAATAAAAATTACGTAATATTAACATTTTTTTTTTCATAGGTCATGGTCAGAAAGGAAACAAAGTCGGGGGTGAGGTCTTTAAGGACAAAGGCCACAAAAGCCGAGGATTCAAGAATGTCTATCACAAAGAAGAGCATGGAGAACACAAAACCTTCCATGATGATTTCCATGATAGCGATTACAAAAAGAAATATCAAGATCACCACGACTTTTACGATCATCATGGGGGTAAATTCCAGAAGGGATATGGGGGAAAGAACTATCACGATGAAAAGAAACACGGCGATGATTACCACAAATTTGGAAAGGCCGGTCACGATTCACATGAAGCAGGACAGCATAAGAAAGGACATGCGCATCACCACGTTGAAGATGCTAAGAAACACCATGGTGGTGCCCATCATGCGTCATCTCATGATGCTGGACATCACAACAAAGGTCATCTGCAAAAACATTCAGATGGATATGGAGGAAACTATGGTGGGGGTGGATACCACAAGAATGTCTATGGACATGAGGCTAAACATAATAAGGAGCATGATGTTGGTCATGGTGCTGCTTATGGAGGGCAACAGGGTGGACATCAGGCTGGATACGGTGGGGCACAAGGAGGTGGTCAGCAAGGCTACTACATACAAAAACCTATACCTGTTCCTGTGCATTATGGATATTATTAAGGGCCTTAAAAAATCCTTGTTCAGTTTTGGAACTGTAAGCACACATTGACGAATAGGATTTTATTTGTATTATATTGATGTTGGATTATATATGTTGATTGGAACTTGTTGAATTTTCAAATGAAGTTCAATTATTGTTCACCTGCTAATTTGTTGAAAATTACTACCATGTAGTAGCAGATGACATGATTTGGAAATCATATTAGGAAATTACACCCATGAATTTTCGCTTTTCATATCCTTGATTTGCATTCCAATCTACGCCATCATTGAAAAATATTGTGCTGTCAAATAGTATATTTTTAGTAACATCAAACTTTTTCCCTTGTCAGCATTTTTAATACTATTTATTAATTTATTACATTTTGTTTTGGGAAAAGGAACGTAAATTTTAAAGTGAACTTTTTTAACTTCGTAAACATGCAATTAGAGTATAACTAAAGTACTAAACAATGTAAAGAGGGGGTAATATAATAGAAATTTCGCTTCGAAAAGTTGAGACAGAAATTTTCGAACACATCTTGCTAAGAGTGTTGGTTGGATTTAAATCAAGGTTTGATCAACATAGATATTTTTGGTGCAGTTTTTTTTAATACAAATATTATTGCAATATTTGAAAGCTTCACTGAAAATGAGCAATTAATATCACTAGTTTCTGTAGTTAATCAGCACAATTTATATTGCTAATGCACGTCAATATGTAAATACGCAGTATTTTACAGCACTTTAGTTTCTGTGATAAAACTAAGTGCTGCAAATTAGCAATTTATAACATAATTGTCTTCTGTGATGCACATAGCACAAAACATATTAATGTAAAACGCATTTATTTTAAGGGGTGCACGCGTTTAGATGTTAAAATTTGTGTGGAGTCTTTTGTTCTGTTGTATTGCAAGAATCATAATATTTTTTTATAAATCAAATAAAATACCTTTTGAATTAGTTGTGAATTTCTAATTTTTTATATAATACATTATTTAGAGCTTATAATCATAGATATCTGTATGTATTATAATATCTGTAAAAGGTCGTGTCGTCATAAGTCGAACTTCATAGTTGTGTACTCGGTACTATAATTTAATTTGAACATGAGCTACTTCAGCATCTTACTAAATTTTTAAGGAAATCGTACCGTATTACAGTTCCAGGTACAGATATCATGGTTCAGAGTTAAAGCAATTTTTTCCTATGTAATGGCAATCACTCCTATTTTGTATGGTAAAAAATAGGAGATTCAAATAGCTGCTCTCCTGACTAAACAGCAAATTATACTTTATTAAATGAAATAAATATTTTTTTTACGAAAATTACAGTACTGTATGGTGAAGACATTTCTGATTTTATTTATATTTTTCTTTTCACTATCTAGGATCCAATTAAAACTTCCAAGCGATAAGTTTATCTTACCACTCTAATAAATTCCAGTGCAGTNATATATACATACATATACAGAGAGAGAGATGTATATGGATAGATAGATATATGTAACTCTGGCTAATAAAACCCGAAATATACGGTATTCAAAACGTTTATTTGGTAATTTTTCCCTTCATTAACGGAAAAATTACCAAACGGATTTCCTGAGCGGTTTACCGGAAATTCTAGTTTTCAAAAATTATAGTTCTTGTTACCACACGCTTATTAAAAACTGCAAAATTGAAAAGTAAATTTAACAGAATAAGTGGATTTCATGTCATACTCTAAGTTATCATGATAACATTACAAAATTTTACCACATTTATCAAATTTTTTTATCATATCTAAGATCGTTATTTATTGTTAATTTTACCGAAATCGTTACAAAAGCACTTCTGCAAAAATTGCCGAGAGTTTTGGTGTTTCAATAGAGCCATGAATCACGGTAAATTTTACCATATTATTATAGGTTTGGCCAATTTTTTTTTCTGAGGGCATAAACAATAAGGGTTTGAGCCCTCGATTTGAAGCTGCTCACCTATCTCCGCAACTGCTGCTCAATACTTTATGTTTCTTCACATAAAACAGTTTTTTCCGTTTAAAAGTAAAAATTATTCACTTAAAATGTATGCACTAAAAATTATATTTGCTCCCTATCATAATTTGCCCGTCATAACATTTCACTTTTAATTCCTTTATGAACATAAATCGTTTTTCTTACTAATCGCTTTATTTAAAAACTATTTTAAATTAAAGCTTTATTGCCATAATGAATTTGGGTACTATTCCATTTCGCCGGCGCAAGTGATGGAGTTGCAAATAAAAAGTCGCCAAATGCATGTAAATTCAATTTTTTTTTCTTTTTTTTTAAACACACAAAAACTTAATAAAATAAAAACTTAAATGAAATAAAAAATTTACAAAAAATTATATTAAAAAAAATTTTTTTGAATTTCCTAGGTAATTTTGTAATGATGCATATAGGCGTTTCTTAATGATATTTTACAATATTGTATTCAATATTTCAATTACATTTGTTGACAGGAAACAGTTTAAACAAAGATTATAATAAAGGGTATGTAACTTACCTACCATTCAATAATTGCGTAACGGGTAAAAAGTTAAGTCTTAAGCTTTAATATTTAAAATTAGAATAATGGTCAAAACCAAATGCCTTCAAATTAGGAATGAAGATATTTTATGGGTAAATAATACATTTTAAACTTTTATTCATTTTATGCTGGTGACAACCAAAGAGTTTTCTTTTTCTATGTGTCATTAAGGAATTAGCTCCTCTTTTTTAGCTCCAGAGAACCACGTTGCATATAGTCTGTTTCAATGAATTGCCAAAATTTTTGCTTTAGATTTTTAGTTAAGTATGGTATATATATTATGCAAGGTGGTTATAATTAAAGTTACGATGTTTAGACCAACTCCGCGTTCGTTCTTTCTGAGGTATGTTAATGAAATTTAGTGGGGGAGAAGGTGGAAATACCGTGAAGAGGCTTTAACCACGATTCTGGCTAAATTAGTTCTGCTTTCTAGTTGGCAAAAATCTAAATTACATTATACTACGCAAGAAGAGGAAGGACCATAATGTAATTGTTGAATTGAATTCATGGCGTCTGTGTAGATAAGTTTGTTTAATTGTATCAACTCTTTAATGTTCTTCTGTTTCTTAAACTATTCTTATTTATGGCTCATTACAGTTATAATTTTTTAAGCTAACTTATTATATGTTTACTAAGGATTTATATCCTGACAAACAATAAGAATTTTGTCCAGTAATGAAATGGTTCTATTTCGCTTCAATAGCCACTGCTCTCGGAGAAAGACCGAACATGGGACGTTATTGGGGTATGATACTTGACCGGGTACTACCTTCACTATATGTTGCAGTTTTAGAATATTAGGAGAACGAAAAAGAATTTGAAAAAAAAAATATTAAAAAAAATGTTAAAAAGTGAAAATTTATAAAAATTGTTTTGAAGTGACTCGAAAGACAAAAAAGAAAGCACAATGACCAAAAAGAGAAGTGTATGAATGTTACAAAATAGTTTTATCAAAAACTCTATATCCTTGATCGATGTTTCTTCGGATTGAAACGATAAAAACACATCAGATATATATAAATTACTTACTTAATAATAATGTCTTTTCTAACTGTAAACGTAGCGAAAGATAGATCCATTGTTGTGTTTTTGCTGCGTACATGTAAACCTCACTGGAGCGGAAGAAGAATGTTACTACTTCTTAAATTGTCATATAAAATAAGCTTTTCGCTGCAATTCTAAAATTTCTGAACTTCCTGCAGAGTTTACAAACACCTGATCTTACTCCATTTTGTCTTTTTCTATAAAAAAAAAATTCACTTATACGAAATAGTACGTCTAAGACTTTTTAGAAAGCATATATATTCTACACCACCAAACAATGAATAAATTGATTTAATCTCACAGTTTCTGAGTCAAAAATTTTGGCTACAACAGGTCTTTGAACGTTTGCTACCGTTATTATCCCACTTTGCTCTACATACGCTGCATAGGCCACGGGAAAAAATCAACAATAAAAATATTATTGAAATGTCGACAACCATTGGCAAAAGGCTCTCGTAAATAGAAAAAAACATACTTGAGATACGAAGCTTCAATCAATCTATACATATGTTCAAAAAAAAATTTTTTTTCATTCCAAACACACGTGCACAACGAGATATTGCATCGAGTTAAACCAAAGAACTTATACGCTTCGCGTAAAGAAGGGAAACTTCCTATACTATCAATGTTAAGTCGTAAGGATCTTTCCCCCAACTTGGGCGCTGAAGGTGTAATGCAGGAAAGCCACCGTCAAGAGCGATTGAAGAACGGGCGCAGATCATTTGATTTTCACCCAATGCACTCATATTTTCTCCGTTAATTATAATCGGATTCGATTTTGCTTTTAAATTTTTTTCAGTTCACAAATTTAGCAGGATTATAATTTATTTTAAAGTAGTAAATATTTATTTAACAAAAGTAATTTTTATTAAAAAATAAAAATTCATTAAAACTTTAAAAAATTGAGTAAAACTTATTTCCCCTTGAAAAAAAAAAACTTTTTCGCTTTGTTAATTTTTCCATGTGTGTATATGTATAAGAAATGTGCTATATATAAATAAAAATTTTCAATTATATATATACTTAGAGTTTTANGTGAGGTGGGGCTGTTGTCGATGTGTAGAGTGCAAAAAAAAGTCGATTAGCTTAGAAGGGTAGTTGTTGTGTCGAGGATTAGTGGAAGCCTTTGGAGCAAATGCTTTACCATATAGGACAGTAGCACGATGGATTCAAGCATCTCGTTTTTTTTCGTCATTAAGCCTTTTCACAACATGCTTTAGAGCAATGGAAACGAAACTCCTCACTTTAACGCCACGCAACAACTACCCTTCTAAGCAAATCGACTGTTTTTTGCACTCTACACATCGACAACAGCGCCACCTCACCGCACCCATACCCTATATACGCATGCGCGCCCTTTTGTGAGTTTCAAGGTTAAGTTGCCACTATTTAATTTACAACCCTCGTATGTTTACTAAGGATTTATACCCTGACAAACAATAAGAATTTTGTCCAGTAATGAAATGGTTCTATTTCGTTTCAATAGCCACTGCTCTCGGAGAAAGACCGAACATGGGACATTATTGGGGAAAGATCTTTGACCGGGTACTACCTTCACTATATGTAGCAGTTTTAGAATATTAGGAGAACGAAAAAGAATTTGAAAAAAAAAATTATTAAAAAAATTGTTAAAAAGTGAAAATTTATAAAAATTGTTTTGAAGTGACTCGAAAAACAAAAAAGAAACCACAATGACCAAAAAGAGAAGTGTATGAATGTTACAAAATAGTTTTATCAAAAACTTTATATCCTTGATCGATGTTTCTTCGGATTGAAACGATAAAAACACACCAGATATATATTAATTATTTACTTAATAATAATGTCTTTTCTAACTCTAAAAGAAGCGAAAGATAGATCCATTGTTGTGTTTTTGATGCGTACATGAAAACCTCAGTGGAGCGGAAGAAGAATGCTACTACTTCTTAAATTGTCATATAAAATAAGCTTTTCGTTGCAGTTCTAGAATTTCTGAATTTCCTTCAGAATTTACAAACACCTGATCTTACTCCATTTCGTCTTTTTCTATAAAAAAAAATCACTTATAAGAAATAGTGCGTCTAAGACTTTTTAGGAAGCATATATATTCTACGCAACCAAACAATGAATAAATCGATTAAATCTAACAGTTTCTGAGTCAAACATTTTGGCTACAACAGATCTTTGAACGCTTGCTACCGTTATTACCCCACTTTGCACTACATGCGTTGCATAGGCCACGAGAGAAAATCAACAATAAAAATATTATTGAAATGTTGACAACCATTGGTAAAAGGATCTCATAAATAGAAAAACAACATATTTGAGATACGAAGCTCCAATCAATCAATACATAGGTTCAACAAAAAAAAAATTTCATTGCAAGCACTT